TCTCTCTCTCTCTTTTTTTCTTCTATTTCTTTGCATTGATCACTGAAGAAGGCTTTCCTATCTCTTCTTGCTATTCTTTGGAACTCTGCATTCAAATGGGTATATCTTTCCTTTTCTCCTTTGCCTTTAGCTTTTCTTCTTTTCTCAGCTATTTATAAGGCCTCCTCAGACAACCATTTTGCCTTGCATTGGCATTATTTATTTACCTATTTACTCTCCCTTGTTATGCTTGTAAACTCCTGAAGCAAGAATTTACCCACCATCCACTATGTAGTCCACACTATGACTAGTACCGTCAATTTGTAAAAACTGAGCATTCATTTATGGTAAGTGAATAAATTAGTAAATGAGTGATGGGATCTGGAGATGAGCCTTGACAGGTTGATATGTTTTGGATAAATGGAGGAGAGAAGAGAGTGTTATGACAGGCTTAGGGAATAAAAAAGCAGAAGATTCAGCTTGCAGGTTCAGTTCTCATATGTGTTCCTAAGATGTTGGATCCTTAGGAGGATGGAGAAGGGGCTCCATATAATTTGTTTACTCTCTGATAAGAGGCAGAACCTTCAGCCACTGGACACTTTGGTGGTGGCCTCAATTGCTCCTGGGTTGACTGCAGCCTGGTCAGTCTCTGCCTGCCTGGCAATGAGCCTGCCACGCCAAGGCCGCAGCGTTCTGTACCAGGCGGTAGCTTGTGATTAGTATGCGCTCTGTGTTCCTGGACAGAACAGATGTCTTGTCTGCTTTTTTCTGCTTCACCATGATGGCAGGTTCCCAATGATCAGGATCAAATTTCACATTTTTCTGAAATCCTGACCTGGGCTGAAAAATTCTGTTTGCTCAGTTCTGAGACCCAGCCTCCCTCTTTGCAGGAAATCATTACAGATTCGTGTGGACAGAGGGTGCAGCAGTACTTAGCCTTGAGTGAGTGGGGGTGGGTGACAGGATGGAGCACTTTTTCCTCTTTCAGATATTTCAGTTTGCATATAGTCACACCTCGAAGATATTGCATATTTGCTTCCAGCCTATTGCAACAAAGCAATTATAGCAATAAAGGGAATCCTAGCAATTTTTTGGTTTCTCAGTGCATGTAAAAGTTATATTTACATTATACTGTAATGTATTAAGTGTGCAATAGCATTATATCTGAAAATGTAAATAATTTTAAAGTGCTTTATTGCTGAAAAATTCTAACCATCATTTGAGCCTTTAGCAAGTTATAAGCTTTTTGTAATAGTAACATAAAAAAGATCACTGATAATAGATCACCATAACACATGTAATAATAATGAAAAAATTTGAAATATTGCAAGAATTGCCAAAATGTGGCCCACAGACACCAAATGAGCAAAGCCTATGGGAAAATGGCGTTGATGCACTTGCTTGATGAAGGGTGGCCGCAAACCTTCAGTTTGTAAAAAATGTAACTCTGTGAAGCACAGTAAAGGAAAATGCAATGAACTGAGAGGTATATATGTATATAAACACAACTTACTTTAAAATTTTTATTTATTTATTTATTTGGCCTCCCCTGGTCTTCATTGTGGCATGCTGGATCTTTGATCTTCTCTGCGGCATGGGGGATCTTTAACTGTGGCATGCAAACTCTTAGTTGTGACCTGTGGGATCTAGTTCCCTGACTAAGGATCGAATCTGGGCTCCCTGGATTAGGAGGGGCCGTCCTACCAGGGAAGTCTCACAACTAACTTTTGTACATTTATTTTGTCTCCTAAAACTTTACTGAATTTATTGATCATTCTAACTGTTTTTTTTGGTAGAGTCTTTAGAAGTTTATGTAAGATCATATCACTCTGAAACAAAGATAACTTTACTTCTTCCTTCCCATTTTTTTTCTCTATTCCTTCCTTCCTTCTCTTTCTTTCCGTTCTAATAGAAACTGATAGTCTAATTCAGAATTCTAATCCAATCTAGAATCTAATCTAATTCTAATCCAAGAATTCTTGGAGACATGGAAGCATGCTTGTATAATGTAAAATGCCTCAGTGTGTGTGATAGCTTCATTCTCCCAGCTTACCTGGGCTCCACCTTTGCTGGTTGCATGCACAAGCCCTAAAAAAATGCCATCTAACTAAATGGCAGACCTTGTATAAAGCAGCTTCTCTAAATTCCAGAGGAACCAGTGCCAAAGACTTCCTCTGTTTCAAATTGCTGTCATGGAGACAGATAAACATAAGCTGGGTGCTTTTCAGCAGGTGTCCAGATACCTGGGTGGAATACTTTGCCTTCCAATGCATTCAGACAGTGAAAATATAAAACCTATTTCACAATAAATAGCAAGTCAGTTAGACTTGGGGGGAGTAGTGGAGAGTCAGTGATGTTAAAGTTTCATGGGAACTCATTTTAAAGAGGAGCTCATCAGGGATGCCTGGAGGGACTTTTGCAAGAGTTCCTCACTAGCTAGAGACAAAACTTTTAACTAAGACCCACGCCTCCTGATTCATAATCTCCTTCTATTTCCACCGCTTCCTGGTGTGGTATCTGATTCATTCCACACCCGAGGAG